CGAGGGAGGTAAGCGCAGTTCGGGGCCCTGCAGCGGACCGGTCGCCAGGCGGCCCAGCTCCGCGCCGGGCCGGGCGGGGACGGGAGCCCCTGCATCCTCGCAGCAGGATCCGGGGTGCAGGGAGCAACCGAGGCGCACGCCCACGCCTGCCCAGGACTGAAACTGTTGGGGTCCTACGTGGAGAACTTTAAATTCGGTTTGGGCAGAGGAAAGAGGCAACAGAACACTCTTCTGACAGGTCTACCTCTTAAGTTTCTGAAATTTCCATCTCATTTTTCTTCGTAAAAGCATCCAAAGTAGGTCTAGTCCACAGTAAGGGGATTGGTTCCAGTTTGATCAAGCGCCCACCGCAGCCCCTGCTGGTCTCTGGAAACACCCTGCAAGCCGTGCCCCTCTTGGCCCTTCTCTCCTTCCGGCCTTCCTCCTTGTGCCTCTCAGACCCTGGACCTGTCGCTTAAATGCTGCCCTTCCTCAAGCTGCTCGGCCACTCTGGGCGCGCACTTGAGCCGACTGGTGTGACTGGATGGTATTTGTAGTATTAACTGATAGGCTTTGGTAGTATTTCCTCCTCCCTTACTTCACCCCGTCTCCCACCCACTATGGGATAGTAAATATCAGATATGAAATATTAAAGGCACGCCGTCTTCAAATCTCTCTTTGGGCTTTATCACTCGCGCGGGGGCATAGGGGTGGGAGTGGGGATTTAGCAGGGACTGGACAGGGGAGCAGGTGTGCCCCGTGGGGGACAGTAGGGCATTGGCCTATTGAGCTGTTCTTTCTCTCTGCCTCTGCCATTCGAGAGAAATGTATCCAGTTTGTGAGGACTGGAGACATGCTCCTGTCAAACCAGGACCCCAGCCAAAAATCGCTCTGCATTAATCCCTAGCAGAGTCATTCCCCAGAATGACTGTAGATCCCTGAGAGACTCTGGGCAGGAAGGCGAAAGGATGGGGGCTTTAGAAAACAATCAAGTCTTAGCCACGGAGCAAAGAAAAAGAAGTGCATTTTGAAAAATGAAAGGACACCTTTTGAATGTAATCAGGTGCAAAACTTGCAGACAAAGTGAGAAGTGTTAACACAAAAATCTATAGGCAGAACAGCCCTCCACTTAAGTGGGTAATAAGTTTTTACCACATTATCGCCTCATTGCACCGGCTTTTTCTCCCCCAGTTTTCCAGCGGGAGATGAATGGGTTTAGTGAGAATGGTGATGAAGGGAAATCATCGCAGCCTGGATTTCTGGCCCAGGAGAAAAGGTCTTTCTTGCAGCCCCGGAAAACCGGTTTGCAGGCCAGCCTGCACCTGAGTTTTTCAGACTGTGACGGGGGCAGGGGTGGGGAGGAGGGTCCTTCTGTCTCGGTGGGAGTGCCTGCTCTGAGGCTGGTCCTCAGACCTGCCTCGGGCCCACCTCGGATCCCCTGAGCCAGAGTCTCCGCGGGGAATCCCAGCGATATGCAGCTTTCCTAGTCACCTCTGGTGGGGGGGATGGGAGGGGGATCTGTTCACGCTCAAATTATACAGCCACGCCGCTGCAAGTTTTAAGAAAACTTGCCGAAAACGTGTAAAAAAATGTCAACACCTTGGATTAGGGAACAGTACAGTTTATGTTTCTATTATAGACTAATATAAAACTTGATTGCCCTCCTGCTTAATGAAGGACCAGGGCAGGCACTACCCACATTGCAGTAGCAACTTTTATTTAACTTTATTTTATTTATTATATTTATTTTATTTAACTCTTATTATTCAACTCTTTTATTTTATTTAAAAGAGTACACACTCTAAAATCTTTCTTCAGGGCGGGGTGGGATGGGTGGAGGAAGGCAAAGGGGGAAAAACTGAAACAACTGTAATAGAATAAACATGATTTAAAATTTAAAAAATAAATAAATAAATAAAATCTTTCTTCATTGCAACATTATTCAAAAGCCTCTGTTCGATTCAGGCAATTTCCACCCCTCCTCATCACTAAAACAATTTATATCATATAATAAATGGCAAAATTTTATGATTAAGGCGGTAGGGCTGAATGTCTGATGTTTGTTTCAGGATGCCATGTTGGTGACTTTGTCTTCCTCTTCTGGGCCTCTACTGGTCTTGATATGTTATGACATTATGGCAAACTGTTGCCTGTCCCCTTCTTTCTGGATGGGTGACCACGCAACTAGTGACTACATTTCCCAAACTCCTTCGTAACTACATGTGGTCATATGGCCAATGTTGAGCCAGTGGGACGTACGCTAATATGATTTATGAGGCAGCTCTATCCCCGTGGCCAGTCTTTTGTATCACATTAGGGTACACACATTTCAAGGACCTCAACAAAGACGACGCTTTTTTTTTAATGTTAAAAAAGTAATTTTTACTTGCTTTCTTGTACAGAAGTATAAATTGATTGAAGGTGTTCAAGAGAAAATTTTCAGATGTGGAAGAGGTAAATAAATCATCGAGCAGACTCTTCAGTCTGTTTACACAAAAGAAGTCAGGTCCAAATTAAATGCTCTCAGCTTTGTAAATAGCAAATAAAATCAAGTGATTCTGAACTTTTGCACGTTTGACTTAACTGGACCTGTGCATTATACAATGACACCCTTAAATTATACTTATGTCCTGAATTCAGACTTTCTTAAGATGTCTTGAAAACCAGTATTTCATGCTATTTATACTGCCTGCCCCAATACTGTGTTTGACTTGGCCACATTTGATCCTGGTACAGACTCAAAAATGTAATTGAGTGCTGCCTGTAAATATACATACATAGAAAAAAGTACATAGAAATATTATTAATGACCTAGAAGACTACATCACTAGTTACTCTGAGTTATGAGATCACTGATTATTTTTATGTTCTTTTCTTCTTTGTGCATTTCTGCATTTTCAAAACTACGTATAATGAGCTTATAATTTTATAATAAGGAGGAAACAGATTTATAGGATTGCACGACTATCGAAGGACTTCTTGTTCTATTTCCATATTTTCTGTTTCTAATCCAATGCCTTACACATAATAGATGCCCGGTAAATAAATGCGAGAAAAGGAAGAAAGGAAAAAGAAAAGAGAAAGAATGGAGTGGAAAGGGAGGAATCTGCTGGATGTCTTCTGTTTGTTTCCCTAGATGCACCCTCCAACCTGCTCTGAACCCTAACAGGCTGCCCTGCATCAACTGTCTAGGTGGGCTTCTTGTTCTCTGGGTTTGGGTTGAATGTTGCCAAAGGGACACGCTGGCATTTCAGAGAAAAGGAGTAGATGTCTATTCCCTGGGATCCACCCCCTCCCCCTGCCTCCCACCGCTGGTCACTGCAGCCTGCTGTATCCTCCAACCAACCAGACCCAGGACCCTTTCCACACAGCCTTTCTGATTGGAGACAGCACCGCTCCCGCCCTCGAGACCCGGGGGGTGGTAACATGCCTCGCTTTTACTAGATCCAGGGTACTGTGCTCTGCTTTCTGCTGTTTTTACCTCTTGCTCGGTCTTTTGTAAATAGCCCCTTTATGAAACTGTTCTCAAATTGTCTAATTTCAATGTGCTATATATGTATTCTCAAGACCCAGAGAGATACCGAATCCGTTGGTGACAATAACCTGGCAGGTTCTTTCCTCCAGGAGCTGATCTGGAAGGATTCAGAGGAAAACTTAGAAGAACATCACACTAGCCCTCACCGGTGTGGCTCAGTTGGTCAGGCATCTTCCCACAAAATGAAGGGTTGCTGGTTCAATTCTCGGTCAGGGCACATGCCTGGGTTATGGGTTCGGTCCTGGCCTCATGAGAGGCAACCAATTGATGTTTCTCTCTCATATCAATGTCTCTTTCTCTCTCTTTCTCCCTCCCTTCCCCTCTCTTTAAAACCTTTTTTAAATTTAAAATTAAAAATCATACTACTGTTCATTTTGAAATCTTAAACATTATTTTCATTTGAGAGACACCACTTTTACATAAAAGGTTTTGTACTTACGAACTAGTTGGTATGCTTTTCTCCTGCCAAAGATAAAGGTTCACATGTGTAGTCCTCTTTTTCTTTCTTTACCCTTAATCTTACCTTTAGTGGTATGGAACACCGTCTAAATACTCAATATTGATTGTTTAATATGTGCACAAACAAATGGATGGTACTTATAATAGTATGAGAATGTTCTCAGAGGTTACTCTTTTTCAACGATCATTTCTCATTTATTTGTCATATGATTTTTTTGTGCGTCCTTGAAGGCAAATTGTTTTTTACTCAGAAAAGACAACTTGAGGGTATTCTAAGTACTTAAAATTAATATTAATTTTATAAAAGTTACAAATTCAAAAACCAAGGCTCCTAATTCAATTTATAATCTTATTATTTTATTTCTATCTGATAAATTTTAACATTTACCTTTAAAGTGGTTGCTTATTTATATTTGGTATCATGCCCTGACCAGAGTGGCTCAGATGGTTGAGTGTCATCCTGTAAAGCAAAAGGTCACTCGTTCAATTCCTGGTCAGGGCACATACCTGGGTTGTGGGCCAGGTTCTTGGTTGGGGGCATGCAAGAGGCAACCAATTGATGTTTCTCACATCAATGTTCCTCTCCCCCTCTTTCTCACTCCCTTACTCTCTCTCTAAAAATAAATAAAATCTTAAAAAAAAATTTGGTATCATTTACAAACTTAATTAAAACTTCACATAAATATTTTAAATTAATATAATACTTTAATGGTTCAAACTAGCAGAACTTAGCAGAATGTTTAGGACAAAAATAAATCTAATAAACTAAAATGGTAAATTCTGTGAATCTTAAATTCTCTTAAACATTTCAATACTTTTAACAAACTCTGTAAACAGATCTTAATCTTTTCATATTAAAAAAATAGCAGCTCTAACATTAACAATGTAGTTACACATTTTAAGCTGGAATCATGAGGCTAATATATCAGATCCTTTACGAATAAGCCAAATTATCTTACCTACTACAAACATTTAAAATACAAAATATACACATAAAGTTGATAAAAAAATAATTTTATTGGTTGATAGTTCATTATTTTTATATGTAAGGGTCAAATGAGAATTTTATTATCTAAGAAAATTGGGGCTGTTATTAGAAGCAAACTGATTATTCCAGACAAACAGGATCACCCACTGAGCAGCTGATGTTCAACGAAGAAGTTTGACTGAGACATCTCTGGAGCAGCCAACAACTAAGGCAATCTCGTTGGCAACAGCGAGACAACCTGAGCCCTAGTTTATGATCACTTCACAGTTAGAGACTCCAGCCCTATTTTTCCCCAAGTGGGGCTGCCTCACAGCCCCCACTCCTGGGACGGTGGCTATATATTACCTAACACTCGAGGTTGGACTCAATTAACTTATTATTTACTGCTTGATTCTGGTCTTCATTCTTTTCATATTTCCCCTCTTTGTTAGGGACACAATCTTTACAGATAGTTCAATGATATCCAAGTGGGTTGTGTACATCTGTTTCTCTGAGTCACACCAAGGATACCAGTCTCTTATGATCACTGCCACTCTCCCTCGAGTTGCTGCTTTATGATCAGAATGGCCTGGCTAAAGGTAGTTCCACAGGTCTCTAGAGGAAGCCTTTTAATGCTTTCCACTCCTCTTGGGCCCTGCTCTAGCGTAGGACGCCCTCGCCTGTGGATGGCTGGTTTGCGATGTCTTGGGTTGAGTAGGTCTGGGCTGAGGCCTAGACTGGGAGGACTGGGGTTGGCGCGGCTGGTGCTGAGTGGGTTTGGACGGGGAGGACTGGGGTTGGCGCGGCTGGTGTTGAGTGGGTTTGGACGGGGAGGACTTGGGTTGGGAGGGCTGGTGCTGGGTGGGTTTGGTTGGAGAGGATGTGGGTTGGGAGGGCTGGTGCTGCGTGGGTTTTGTCTGAGCGGGTTTGGGTTGAGAGGACGTAGGTTGGGAGGGTTTGGGCTGGGGGTGCTGGTGCTGGGGTGGCTTGGCCTGACTGATTGGAGAGCTGGGGGAAAATTTGTTGTTGGACATGGGATGGAACCCCATTCGGCCAGTTGGATCTAGAGGCCTGCCTTGTGCCTTCAGCTTGAATCCTTGCTGAAGGGCGGGTCTTACAGGTCTTTGTATGACTCCTGCTGGTCCACAGGCTTGCAAGTGAGGATTCACAGGATGGGATGTTGTCCTCGTAGGCTTTCCAGTTGCCTCAGTTGGCTGTGGTCCTCGGGGGTGGGCTTGCCTAGGCTGTGGCTTCCCAAATGGTCCTGCTGGCCGCAAACCTGGGGCATGGAGGTGAGGTACCCGGGAGACCGCTGCGGCAGGCCTTTCACAAGCTCCCATTGTCTGTGGTCTGCAAGGCCAGGGCTGTACACATGGGTTAAAAGGTCTTGGTGGTCTGCCAAATAGTCCATACACGTGCTGTCCCCAAGGAGGTCTCGGAAATTTCATAAACCTTTCACCTGAACAAAATCTCTGGGGTTGGAAGTACTGGGCCTTAAAACTTTTACCTTGACTATGGACCCACGAATTCTGAAAGGGTGGAGGACGGACCCACCTAGACTTCTGCCCTGACCCAGAGTGGGAGCCCATAAGCCAGGGAGCTCTCAAGGGAACACGGTTGACATGGCCTCCCACTATGATGGGGAGAAGGCAGGAGTTCTGCAGGGGAGGCCTGACCCCTGGGGTGAGGTGGCCGTGCTCAGGAGCCGGGCTGGCCTCCCCTCCAGCTCCTGCCTCTTTCGCCGGCCGCTCAGCTGGGCTTTCGGATGAGCTTTCTTGCTGACTGTGTCTTTGTGGTCCCTCATCTTCAGTGCTTCCAGCCAAGTTTTCACTAGGAGCAACTTGAATTCCTTTGGCGTTCTCAAAGTCTTGGTCTATCTGGATCCCCAGCTCCCTGGCCAGGGAGCCCATGTCCTCCACGGACACACGCTGGAGCGAAGAGGACATCACTTCTTGGAGGGCAGCTTGGAGGCTCTTTATGTTCCTCCCTTCCTCTCCACCTTCCTCCTCCTCCCAAAACAGTAGCTGTGATGGCTTCAACTTCAGAATCCTCTGGAAAATCTGAGCCTCTTCGCTCTCCCTGGCCTGGGGACTGAGGACAAAGTAGCATTTTTTGATGGCAGCTTCTCCTAAAAACATGAGCAGGTCCCATTCCTTTTCACCTAGGCAGTCAGTGAAAAAGAATACAGCCGAGGAAATTTCCATCAAGAAGCCAAATTGCATCCAAAACCTTTCGAGATCTCCACGAAGGTTGGCCAGGGCAACGGGCTCTTGGAAAAGGTGAGCGTTCTCCCACAGACCGCGATCAGGAAAGCACCACGCTATCTCCACCAGGCCGTCGGAGATCCTGCGGGGAGGCCCCGGCACGGCCCGTTCGCGGTGGAGGAAGACTGCACGGGATTCCGGCCGCCCGGGGCTGAGCAGCGCGTTGAGGATCCTGGACTTGGAGAAGCTACAGTCTCCGAGACGCACGAAAGCGAGGACGGGCACCTTCAGGAGCGTCAGGAACTTTTCTGTTGCCCCTGCAGGCCCTCCTAAAGCCCGCGCTGGCTGCTGCTCCACTATGTCTCTCATGGCTGCCAGCATTAAAATGCTCTTGTTGTTCTCCGCATCTGGCAGCAGCAGAGGAAGGGCGAACTGGCATCGATACATGTTCGCCAGGACCTGGCGTTGCAAAGTGCTGTCTGAGCACAGCACGGCGGCGCAGAGCGCGTCCAGGGGATGGATGGCGCGCGCGCACTCGGCATCTGCGTCCTCCGGGCCTGCAGGCAGCTCCCCTCGGCGCTCCTCGCACAGCGGAAGGGCCGCGTCTCGAGCCGTCACGTCCAGTGCTTGAACTTTCATCAGGAAGTTCCAGGCCAAGTCTCCCGGAGCCTCGGGCGCCCACTGACACCCTCGGTCCAAGGAGAACTGTCTAACAGCTTCTGGCCAAAGCTTTCTGCTCCTATCCATGTTCAGACACGACAGGACGTCTTTAAAGACCTTTTTTCTTTCTGCAGGAAAGAAGATAGATACTCCTTGAATCACTTTCAAATTGGAAGTCCTTTACTCACTTGTAAAGTTAAGTGATTGGCGTTTTCATTATAAAAAGATGAAGCAGTACAAATAAAATGGAGGTTCCGTCTCACCACTCTGCCAATGCTACTCTCCTTCTAAGAGACGTCAGTATGTTTGCTTCCCATCCTTTTTCTGTGCAAGGCCATAAGCATGCACTGGTATATAGAAAGACTTAGTTTGGTTTAATGGATGCTAGTTTATTTTTACATAAGTGATATTACACCAAACAAATGATTCTCAAACCTCTTTTCACTTAATGGCATTCCTTGTAAATTCTTCCCAGACAGTATATATACAGATCTACTTACATCACTTTTAGCTAATCCATTATCCTTCATGACTTTGATGGACCATCATTTATTTAATTGTTGTCTATGCTTACTTAGGTTTTCCAATTTTGTGGCTGTTTATATGCAGCAATTTAAAACCTTGTTAATGCATCATTATACACATGTATGAGGAATTCTCTAGGTTGATACTGATTTTTTTTTTTTAAAGATTTTATTTATGTTTTTAGAGAGAGGGGAAGGGAGGGAGAAACAGAGGGAGAGAAACATTGATGTGTGAGAGAAACACTGATTGGTTGCCTCTCCCACAGCCCCCGCCAGGGACCGGGCCCACAACCCAGGCACGTGCCCTGACCAGGAATCAAATCAGGGACCTTTGGTTCGCAGGTTCGCGTTCCATCCGCTGAGCCACACCAGTCGGGGCCTGATTTCTTTCTTAAAAGTATTTCTTGCCCAAATTGGGAAACATGGAATATTTTATTACCAATAAGTTTTTCTCAGAATTTACTTGTTGTACCTAACTTCTCCTGATCTCCCATTTTCTAATATACCTTCTAGCTACTTCTTGAGAATATAGAGACAGTGCTTAGTAGAGAAAGAAGAGCTGCGAGCATTTTTTTGCTCTTGATGGATAGCAAATTAGCATAAGCTTCATGGATCCTCTATTAGAAAATAGAGAAGAAACCCTAGAAGTAAGACAAAAGTATGGATTTCAAGAACTAACAAAAGTAACTCTAAGAAATCTTGGGCTGTTTGAAAGCTGCCAAGGATTTCCAGCAAACCAGCAAAGCGAGAAACAGGTTCTTCTGCAGCCTTTAGAAAGTCCCAGGCCTGCGGACACCTGGACGCGAGCCTTCCAGCGTCCAAGCTGCTGAGACCATACAGGTCTGTTGTTTGCTGTTGAAGCTGCCAGTCTGTGGCACATCCCTAGGGCAGCCCCGGCAAACTAACACAGGTGTGCCAAGCGGGGAATACCTCCTCCCCACCCGGACCTGGATTATGAATCCCCCAGGCCTGGGACTGAGTGTGAGATGGTAGTCACCTTTCCCTTCCCCACTCAGAGCTTGGTTATGCTTGCTTCCCTGGACAGCACCTCCTCAAATAAAGCAGTTGTCATATTTTGAATTTTTAGAAAGCTGTGGTGCAGTTACCCAATGGCATACGGCTCAGCCGTCAAGAGAAGGAAATCTTACCTTTTGCGACAGCATGGATGGACCCAGAGAGCATTATGCTAAGTGAAATAAGCCAGTCCAAGAAAGACAAATACATGTGACTTCACTTATATGTGGAATCTAATGAACAAAATAAACTAACAAAATAGAAACAGACTCGCACAGGGAACAGACTGATAGCTGTCAGAGGGGAGGGGGTAGGAAGAGGGGTGAAGAAGGTAAAGGGATTAAGAAAAAAACCCAGAACCTCACAGATGGACAACAGAGTGGTCACTGCCAGAAGGAAAGCGTGGGCAGAGGGAGGCGGAAGAGGATAAAGGGGGGTAAATGGTGATGGAAGGAGTCTTGACTTGGGGTGACGAACACACAATACATTACAGAGATGATGTATTATAGAATTGTACCCCTGAGACCTATATAATTTTATTAATGAATGTCACTCCAACAACTTCAATAAAGATAAATAAATTGTTTTTTAAAAAGAAAAAAATATTCTCATTGAAGATTCTAATATAGTTTCCTTCTTCAAGGTGGCACTATATGGTGGACTGGACCAAGCTAAACAAGAGTATCTTGAAATTTCCTCCATTCACCACGAACTCCTCTCCTGCTTCCACTTCAATAGTTAGGCCCATAATCGCCATCTCCCCTAGGTTACAAGGCACTAGACTGACGAAAGAGACTTAATCTAAGGAGTAGAAGGTAACGCCTCAAGTAAGTGGCTAGCAACTCCATCAACGTGTGACAGGCGTGACTCCAGAAACCTATCAGCTGTGATCAATATTTACTTTTGCTTATCCTGTGCAGCATTTCCTAGGTTCTGGGTCTCCTCCCTGTCAGCACCTTCCTCTGAGGACAGTCCACTTAGAGGGACACAAGGAGCTCCTGAGATGTGGACACCTGGTGCCCTTCCTCCTCCTCTCTCCCCATTGTGTCATGGCAGCCTAAAAATATGCTGTTGTCCAATGATCACATATCATTCCCATACCTTCCACACTCTGCTCCTCCTCTTCCTCCAACGACACACCCGTTTCTGACTCCTCGTAACTCTGTTCTTCTCCAGAGAACTCCGTGGTTTCTGAATACGCAGGCTCCCCTTCGCCATCATAGACCAGGTACTCTGGGTCGCTAGGATCCTCCTCTTCCACTCTTTCTACATCTTCAGAGTACGTGACTGATTCTAGGTAGTCCTCATCTCCTAAGTATAAAGAATCATCGATCTGATCGTATCTGTGTCCGTCCTGTAAATAAATAGCTTCAGAAACTTTATATTCAATGTTCTCTCCTGAGTGTGGCAATGGGAGTGTTGGTGTGTGGTCCTTCGCACATGCCCTCGAGGACCAAGCTGTTTCCCCATAACTAGTTTTCTTGTCCATGAACTTCTCAGAGGTTTCCAAATCCAAGTGCTCTTTCTCTGTGAAGGGAAAGAATTCTGTGAGCTCAGAATTCTCAGGCTGTTTCTCTCCCGGGGAAAATGGCTCTTCTGGATTCTTGCTCATACCCACAGATTGAAGAGGTTCTGTACTCTCATGTTTAAAAAATTCTGAAAATGGACAAGAAAGTTTTAGGGCTTTTTTTAATTTTGTTTTCCAAACTGACAAAAATGAAATTTTATGTTTACTTGAGTTTCCAAGCAATATCTCTCTTCTTTAATTCATTGGAAGTCAGGAATACCTACAACCTCCAACATAAATGGCAGTAAGTCAACTGTCAGAACATTCTTTTCCCACTGGAAAAAAAAAAAAAATTAGACCACACTCTGGTCTTGCTCAAAATTTCAAGTCTTTCATAGCAAACTCAAATGTTAAATGAGCGGGGGGGGGAAATTAAGTCTTATGGACAGCACTTACTTATGGATTTACTGTGACCCCAAACCAGCTCAGAATTCCTAGGGTCGTTGCTAATAAAGTCTGATCCTAATAATTTCTAATCAGGAAGCAGATAGCTCTAACTTAAAATAGCAAATCCTAGAAGTAATAAGACCTACTTCTCTAAGCATACAGGTCTTATTCTACATTAAGGACCATTAACATTAACCTTTTTATCCATCACTCCACCTCTCTGACATCTCTAACCTACTCCTTAGATTCCTCAATATTCATTAGATGCCCATAAAAGAAGCTACCCTTGCCCCTGGTGGTCACCTACAGAACTGCTGAGCAGTTCATTCTGGGAGAATTGCTCCCTCACTTGCCACTATCTTTGAACATTGAAAAACTAGCATTAGCATTTCTTCAGAAAACTAGGGTTCTGCTAGCATTCTTATCACAGAAGAAAAGAAAAAAGGAAGTGAGTGATCCACCATGCATGCGGATTGTTTTCCCTGTATTTCCCAAATGTCTGTACTAAGTGAAAGATGCAGCTTGTGGTTTGGGGACTGTTGACATTTGTGAGTTCACTCACTTGATAAAGAAATCCCTGCTGTGTCATCACGAAGAGCAGTGTCTGCCCACCTGTGCGCATTTCAGACTGTGGTAATAATGAGCAGTCTGCGCGGGCGCTAAAACAACTGCCCATATTGGTTGCAGTTTAAACAAAAGATTATCACTCCCCTACACCAGTAAGATACATTGTTCCCTGCTTTTTAAATCCTGGCCACTTCCCCTTTACCATCTTTCAGTGAAAGATTATCTCTGCAAAACATACAAATAAAAATAAGAAGTAATTGTTTTCTTTTTTTCAGGAAATCTGCCTCCTCCCTTTCAACCCTTTCTCCCGCCCCTCTCGCCGCCCCACTACCCAAGCATAGAAATTCAACTTACCGTGCCTTAAGCCCCAAGTGGTTGCTGACTCTGGAAAAGTACTACGTAAACATTTGAGAAAATGCTGACAACTGACTTCTCCTTTTTTCTGTACCAAAATTAACAACTTTCGACTTTTCTTCAGGGGATCTGTGATATCCTCCAGCATCTCATACTCATCCTCAGAAATTAGCCCCCGAGAGGTGAGTGAATCTAAGACAGAATCCAGATCTTGCTGGAGGACTTTCAGTAACTTCTTCCGTTCTCTTTCTATAATCTCTGAGGGAGCGCTCTCGGTAGCCATTGTTCTTTTTTTCTCTAGCCCAGGAAGTGGATTACAAAACCCTTTCAACATACAAAAACAAGTTTAGGCGGATCCGAGCAGCTGGTTGCTGCCACACTGCCCGTGAAGGTCACCTTATGCTACAGAGCGGTGAAGGAGGAGCCCAAGGAGATTGGCGAGTTTGTCAGTTCCTGCAAAACTGGAAATGGAGCCAAAGAAAAAGGTGGCAGGAGAGGGTAATCTGCGGACAAGAAAGTGCAAACAAAGGGGGAAAGGAAAGCAAGGGGAAAGCAGGATGAAGTGGCTATCCAAGACACTGAAGACTGACTTGCAGAAAATGGAGAGATCAGACTGAATCTAAAAATGAGGAGAGATCAGCTTCTGATGAAGCAGGAGAGAATGAAGCTAGGTCTGATTAATATCATACCCCATGTCTTATCAGTGGTCCCTGGCTCCCTTTTTTACAATCCAAAGGAATATTTTTATCAACTACTTTGTAAATGTAAGTTTTTTTAGTAGCTCTAGGATCTTTTTTAAAAAATATTTTATTTATTTATTTTTAGAGGGAAAGGGAGGGAGAAAAAGAATGGGAAAGAAACATCAATGTGTGGTTGCCTGTCTTGCGCCCCCTACTGGGGACCTGGCGCACAACCCAGGCATGTGCCCTGACTGGGAATCAAACCATGACCCTTTGGTTTGCAGGTGGACACTCAATCCACTGAACCACACCAGCCAGGGCTCAAGGGACATTTTTAAGGAGGGATCCACCTCATCCCATTTTTTAAAAAAATGTAAGTTCTTTTTTTTAAAGAGGTGAAATCATTTGCTGGTTACTTTTTGGTACAACCAGAAAGTAGTGGGGTATTGAATATGGCAAGCTTTGATTGTCTTGGGTCAGCTTAACATTCCATAAATGGGGGTATGTCCTATAATACAAAGCACAGTTAATGGCAATTTGTAGTCAGTTGTGCATGTAACATGTCTTCAACATTTAAAATTACTTCTACTCCCCTGTTTTTGGTAGAATTGTTTCCTAAAGAATCTCACTCCTTGATCTTGGTTCCCCCTGTCAGAATTTTGTGCACTCTGTAACATCTTTGGTGTAGTAGTCCAATTTTCCTCGTAACATTGTTAATGTGCAGTGAAAGACTGAATATTAGATTATGTTGTGTATATGATATTAAATAGTGAATTAGTGGGACTATGATGTAACAGTGTATCAACACTTGAAGATACTGGTACCTGATATTCTGTTAAGGAAAATTTGCTTCCCAATTTTAAGCTGGAAGGTCACTGGAATAACTGTAGAAAAAGAATCACACCTATATTTTAGGTTTTGGGTCTGTAGGTATGCAGGTTAAAAGTTGTGTAAAAATGGAACTATCTGTGTCCTTATCCTCAGAACAAGCAATAATGTCTCAAGAAAGAAAAAAACTTAAAAAGGGAAAGGATAATTTTTTTTGTCAAAGATTAAATATGTCAATGCTGCCTAGTGTTGGAGAGGGCTGATTCGAACAAGCCGGGGCCCTGCGACAACCCCGTCCCCAGCCCTCCTGCAGACTGGCTCCCTGCGGTTTATTTGCTGGCTTTCTCTGACTAGACTCAGGCTCCATGACTGGCCCCCGGGGTCCATGCCTCTGAGCAGTCTCTCTTGAACTTCAGATTGGACTAGGTATTCCCTTCTCTAAACTCGTTCTGTGATAATAAAAATGTGAATTGATAAAATCTTTTTGGAGAGAAATCTGGCAATATGCAGCAATAAACAAATAAATGTCAAAAGAAAAAAATATTTATACCCTAGAATCCAACAATTCCCCTGCTAGGAAATTTTCTTAAGGAAATGACCAAATGCCCAAAGATGTGTGCATGAGACTCTGTATTGCAAAATTGTTTATAATAATTGAAAAGTGAAAGTAATGAGAATTTCCAAAAATTGGAGATTTGTGGAATAAATGGTAACACATCAACAACAAAACATCAAAAAGTAGTCAAAAAGGATGAAATAAATCTTTACATATTGACAGGCAGTGATACCCATGATATATCGTTATAGAAAACAGAAAGTTGCCCTGGCTATTGTGGCTCAGTGCATTGAGCGCTGCCCTGTGAACCAAAGTGTGGGTAGTTTGATTCCCTGTCAGGGCACATGTCTGAGTTGGGGGCCAGGTGCCCAGTACGGGTGCGAGAGAGGCAACTACACATTGATGTTTCTCTGCCTCTTCCTCCCTTCTCCTCTCTAAAACTAAATATTTTAAAAAAATAAGTTGTAGATCTTATTTTTGTTTTAAAATTAATGTGTATAGTGTGCATATATAACATGTGCATATAAATACACATTGTGTTTAAAATAAGACAGCTATGAAAGAGATACCCCAATTGTAACACTGGTATCTCTGCAGAGAGGTTACAGAGTCAAACCTTCTACTTTAAACATTACTATTTAACACGCTATGGGTTTTTTTTTTTCTTTTTTGCTTTTGTTAGCAAACTTTATTTTCATTAAAAAAAAACTAGTTGGTCTTTATTCAGTGATGCAGTTCATAAGAACCTGAAAGCAATGTAAAATAATGATCAACAGGACACTGGAGGAATAATCTGGAGTATTTCACGTGTGGAAAAGAGGGAGGTTCGATCCAAAGGAACCTCCCAGGGTCATCTGATCTTAAATTTCTAACTGGGGCAGGTCATGGTGTGTGGTCAAGCCCCAGGCATATAATCTTAGTAAAGGTTTATCTTTGCTTCTGTTCCCAGCTGTTAACCTGACACAGTTAAACCTGATTCCTAGAGTTCACCATCGTTCTGCCAGCGGTTAGTCAATGACCTTTGCTGACATTTCACATTGACAGGTAGAGTTTGCTTTAGAAAGCACATTAATAGGGTTATTTGGGATCGTTTTCCCCTACAATTTTTAAATATTTGGTCGGTTCATCGTTTTGCGAGGGCAGGGGCTTTGGTGGGGAAGGGGTTACAACTGGATTCACTTTACTCGAAGCCTGGTAACCACCAATTTCGAAACTATTTAGAAAGTGTTTCCTGAGTGCAGGCTCCCAGAGCCTACTTAAAGCTGCCGAATCGGATTTCCTCACGTTACGATGCAGGAAACTACCCTCAAGATCCACGTGTGATTCCTTGGCACAATGACATTCGTAACCAAAACTCTACCTCCAAATTACTACAGTTTTCTAACATTATTTGCTTGGTTTTCAGATTCTGAGCTTGGGTACGCGCAGCGACCCTTCAGCGAAGCTTCCAGCGAGTGGCAGGAAGACCTTGGAGAACCAGGTTTCTTCGCATCGGGATCCCAGTCCCATCACGACCCGGCCTAACGCTCCCGAGGCGCTGAGTCGGCGCAGGTACCCCCGGGGCGGGGGAGGGACAGCTTCACACTCCAGGTTCTCCTTCAGTTTGGGACCGCAATCCGCGAGGTGACCGCAGCTCTGGCTGAAAACGCAAGGAGGCCCGGCAGCGGCTCCAGCACCAGCAGAAACAGCGACAGCACTGAGACCGGCGTTTTGTCCCCGCCCGCCTGCCGAGAGCTGAAACCCCTATTGGCCCCGCCTGGTTCCGGATCCTCCTCTGGACCCCACGCAGCGACGGACACTTGAGGACGCTGCACGGTGCCCCGCCGGAAGTACTCTCCTGAGCGGAAGCTTCTCAGCGCGAAATAGCGGAAGTGTCTTCGCTTCCGGTCTCTTTGGTCTCAGCGGCAGACGCGAGATGGTGAGTTGTACTCAAGAGCTTTTCGAATCGCCTTCCATCCTCGTCCCCCATGCCACGCTCCTTGCTCTCCGAGGGGGTGCCGGCAAGGTTCCCGATAATGGGAGCGGGTGGGCAGGGAAGGGACATGCTGGGGCCTTCACGAAGCAGAAGAATGGCTCTTAACTATAACTGGGGTGCCGAGCCTGCAGTCGTGGAATTGCAACCGCTTTAGATCTCTTGCTGCGGTCTGAGCTTGGGGTCCCGCACCGCCCTGCTTTCGGATGAGAACTAAAGGACGAAGCTCGGTTTCGGAGCGCTTCGCTGTGTAAGGAACGGAATTTTGTTGGTGTTGTCTGGGAGGCGTCCTTAAGGTTTTGGGTGAGGGTAGGAGAATCAGGTTATTTCGTCTTTTGCCTTTTTTTCTCTTAAATGTGGCGGATTTCAAAACAGTAACTCTTGCGGAAAGCTTTAGATAAATGTGAAATGTTGGTAGTGGTTTTTGATCGAACCTCTTAAGAAAAATTAACTGGGTTGGCCAAAAAGTTCGTATAGTTTTTATTTGTATGGGTGCCTCGTAGTGCTTAGTTGTCTTTAACTTCGAAACAGTTTTGTTAGATTGCATTGTGACACTTGTCAAATGAGCATGCATTTAAAATAAACTTAAAATTAATTTTTATGCAACCATTTTAATATTGAAGATGAAAGAAAATAACATTTTGGCTTATTGTGCTTTATTATTTCAAGAAACGTAAAAACACAAATGGAAACAAAGATTTGTGCAGTGTATGGAGAAGGTGCTGTGATTGATCAGATGTGTCAAGTGTGAAGTTTCCCGGTACTCCTGACATTTTGGCCAAATAATTCTCTGCTGGGCGGCTGTCTTATGCATTGGAAGATGTTTAGCCACACCCTGGTCTCTGCCTGCTAGAAGCCAATAGCGGGAGACAGCCAATATACTCAGAATACCCAATCAATGCAGTTACTGGTGAAAATGAAAAACACCTTTTATGGAAAAACCACATGAACTATCTGGCCAACCCAACAGAATCGTCAGCCCTTATGACTGTCTTAAACCTTCTCTCTTCTACATGAATATTAATTGCTATGTTTCAGAATTGTTTGTCCCCTTAATTTACAGACGAAGGGGACGTCATCGTTCGGCAAACGCCGCAACAAGACGCACACACTGTGCCGCCGCTGTGGCTCGAAGGCATACCATTTGCAGAAGTCCACCTGCGGCAAGTGTGGCTACCCGGCCAAGCGGAAGAGGAAGTGTGAGTTGACCGCTCTCTAGCCCACTGTGCGAGGTGTTGGGGTGAATCTTGAGGTTAAGAATGGTGATGTTGGTGTTGCTCTTGGCAGGGAGGGGCTGGTTTTGGACGTTCTTTGGTGCCTCCCATAAAGTAGTGTGTCTGGGTGCCCATGAAGCTGATTGAAAACCCAAGGGAGCTTCTGACCTGTATTGACCAGTGGTGCCTGCACGGTGTCCGGGGAAAATCATTAGAGCCTCACCCGAACTTTGTGTTTTAGATAACTGGAGTGCCAAGGCTAAACGGCGGAACACCACCGGGACCGGTCGCATGAGGCACCTAAAAATCGTGTACCGCAGATTCAGGTACAGCTTCCGTGTTTTGGTCATTGTAGGTTTTCTGAGCCCGGATCAGAATCCCCTTGTTCATTTACCGATGTGAAGTAAGAATGCTGGCCTTACGGGGGAGGAAAGGGTGTTGGGAGGTACTTTTGCCAACATAACCTGATCCATTAACCCTGGATTTTATTAATCTCTGAGTAAACAGTAGTGTGAGCTACAAATGCCATGGGTATGTTTCAAGCTAGATTCCGGAGATGTGATAGTATTTATTAATACCTACATCTCCTTTTCTTACCAAAATTTGTCAAGACAGCACTGTGTGAATGAGGTCTGGAGCCAGACTTTCAGCTCTGTGGCTCTGGGCAAGTAGAAAACTGTCGTACTTGCTGCTGCGTTTGTGTAAGAGAACTTCTACCTCTTCTGTTAGGAAAGCAGAGATTTCAGCCCTAACCTGGACTTACAAGTTGCTTTTAAAGCATTAATCCATCTACGGTCTCGACATAGGCGATTCTTTGTTGGGAGCAGCTGTTTTGGGCAATGGAGGATATTTAGCAGAATCCCTGGCTGCTACCCACTCAATTCCAGATTTTATAATTTTCAAAGATCATGAGACGGGGCTTTATGAACACAGCACCCTTAGATGTGTTGGTGTTGGTATTCTGAGGTGACCTTTGTTTTACCCTTCAAACCCTTATACAGTGATGTGGACTTCGTGTTGAGTGGTCTGCTGGTGTGGTGGAGGGGTTAACCTTTCTGAGCATCAGTTCATGAGTCTTCCAAATGGTTGTGAACACAGTGCAGTTCCCTTCAAGTAGGCTAACTGGTAAACGAGTTAGAAAATAAAGCACTGTCAAGCAGTTTACAAACTCCCCGCCATTGAACATGCTTGTTGTCTTTCCCTGGTTAAAGGAAAGTAGTTAATATCTGCCTCACAACATAGGGGCCCACTTTCACAAGGACCTCGGGTCTCTTAACAAGCTGTGGGAAAATACTAGTCCAGTGATGAGTAGAACCAATGTCGAGTTTATTTTTCAAGTGCAGTTAACTATATATATCCCTAAAATAGGTGCCTTGAGCAGAAGGGTTTGAATAAAATGTTGCAGCTTATCGGTGATGTTGTAAAAATAAATGTCTGAACATATGAATTCATTATTGATTTCAGCATTTAACTGAGATAAGCTCATTAAACATCTGTTCTAGCAAAAACTGAAATGTCTATGTGAGGTTGCTGAAGTAACGGTTCTTGTTTTTAACACGGTGCAGGCATGGATTCCGTGAAGGAACAACACCTAAACCCAAGAGGGCAGCTGTTGCCGCGTCCAGTTCATCTTAAGGATTTCACTGATTAGTCCCACAATAAATGTTCTGGTGTCCAAAAATATCTGGTGTGCTAAGGTATTTTTAATAGACTTGTAGTAACAATGAACTAGAGGTTTGGGAGTGGGACAACTTAATGTCAGATTTACTTGTTAAGTGATGTTTTGGAGCACTAACTCCTGAATTGAGTTTTGATACTGCTTAAGAGGATGAGAAACAAGCAGAATTCCAGGATTCCTTCAAGCAAACAACACTATAGGTGATGTAAAGAATGTAGTAAGGGGGAAAGTAGCATGGTTTGTGTGGCTTATGTGCCACACAATATTTAAAATGCTAGAGTGAATGAAAGCGTAAATTAATTCCTTTTAGTAACATTCATCCGCTATAGTGTAATGACTTGGGGCAGTGATTGTTAGTCCTGTACAGTAGAGATTGAGTGTCAGTGAGAACATGAAGGCTAGGGGTCAAATGAATTCTGTTCCAAAATGCTTTCTTGGCATCTGACATGGAGGCTGTGTATGAAGTTTAAGTGGGAAACTAAAGCAACCTGCTAGGTGCGTGAAAGTCTGTAGGGCCACATGCAAACACCGTGGACTGAATCAGAATAAAGGAAAGCCAAGTATAAACTGGTCCCTGGTTAGAACATTTTAGAACTGGGTGATCAAGGATTTTTCTGTGTTGAATGCTCTGGGGGTTTTTTTGCCACGCTTTCCCACTTTTGGTGGCTTCTTGCCAAAGAGTTCTTTGACATGAGACAAGGCCAACTTTGTTGGCCTGCAGAGTGAGAGGAGAGGAGGTAGGTCAAACAGCACGGGCGCTGGATCCGGCGCCGTGAAGTAGTCAGGTGGCCGAACTGCTCTCTAGCCTCACGCGGCCTTGAGAGGGTTTGTGGGCCTCGCCACCTGCACAGTTTGACCTTTGCTGCACTTCAGAACGTGTTCCCGAGGAACTGGTTCATCTTGCCCTCATCCTGCTCCTTCCTCAGCTCCTGGCTCTCGCTTCGGGTCTCGGGGTTTACTCACTTGCACAGAAACCCCTGCTCATCTAAATCGGTGCTGGGCTTCCTCGCAACGTAAGAAACAGTAATTTTGTCTTGCTAGAGCTGAAATGTGACTTGTTCTTAAGATCTTTCTGAAATCCTGGTGGTACTGGTGGCTGATTCCTGAGCAATGGAGGGGCCCGTTAAGATACGTAGCACTCTGGACTGAACGTCAGGATTTGCAGCAAGCGGGCACTGACCTGAAGGCCGATGGAATTGCTGAATCCTGGGTCAGGAAAAGAAGCTGGCACGATAGGGGTAGGGGGGCAGTGATGCATTAGGAAAGGCCTGAGTATTGGGTATAAGGTGAACTTAACCCTCGTAAGCCAGGGCCTGTGGCCCTTGGCACGAAGTGGGCTTCAGCGGGACGTTGGTGCAATGGTAACTGTCCCCATCAATCACAGCTGGCGCACACCAAGCGAAGGTGCGCTGGCCGCAGCTGAAGTTCGGTTGACCGAGGAGGAAGCAATGGGGAGGGGATGGGGCTGGGTTAACACGTGCAAAATGAAGTGCAAACAGGTGCAATTGTTGCTCATTTAATTGTACTTTGCAAAAGATCATGTGTTCTATGGATCCGAAGTCCTGAGGATTGGAGTTAAAGGTTAAGCAGTGGATCCCTGATCTGACAAAAGGTGCCTGGGACCAGTGCTGCTCTTGTTCCACTGAGACTGACTGGTGTGCCCGGGTGACACACCAGCTAGGGAAGTGTGTTTCTGGGGCAGAGGGCACTCGGGACTGGATGGGTGTCACCAGTGGGTGGCTGAAATGAGACCCAGGGACACGGATGTGTTGTGTTGACTTGGCCTTTCAATCACAGATGCTGGGGTTTGTCAGGTCAGGAGGTGGGTGGGGTTGTCCTGAGAAGAATCTAATGGTCATGAAGCAATAATACATCTCCAGAGGTGCCAGGGACACACCATTAGTCATTAGCAAGATTCATGTTGGGTGTGTGAGTGTGATGTCTTGAAGCTGGAAGGCTAGGCAGCGGGTTCTTGAATAGTCTCGAGGTCGCCAGGACGTGGGCTGAGGCAGGGCCAGTGGGGCTGGCTGGAGTGGGCAGGTCTTCCCTGGAACATCTGGGACTTGAATCAAAGGGAAGAGCTTCCTAGCCCCCTTTCTGTGTTGTAGGCTGTGTTGAGGGCTCTGTGGGGTCACATTCGCAGAAACTGCACTGTGTTTAGTGCAGCAGGCCTCAGATCTGTCAGGAAACTCGGGCGGCAGGTTTCTGAGGGTGAGGAGGTGGTTGGTGCACTCACAGGGGGAATACAGAATGGGGGAGGGGCGCTAAAATTGGCTTTCGTCGGGATGCCTGTGGGACAGCAGAAGGCCGGCTCTAGGAAGCGCTGAGTAAGCCTGGTGGCAGTTCAGGTGGGGAGTGGGCTGGCGATCCGCCTTCGGCAGAAACGACACAGTTGTGAAAGGGAATGGACTCCAGGGTTAGAATGGTGAAGATAATTTAAAGGAATGAGAGTGATAGAGAAAATGATTCAGTTTCTTAATCGGCTTCAGTAACCATCCCTTATTCAATGATGGTTGAAACCATTTGAAACTACGATTTCCAGAAAGAAAACAATTAAGAGACCAACTCAGCAATTACAGGAGTGGTCCATGGGGGCGGGGGGCGGGGGGAGAGTGGTTTGTTCATTGGTTCAACATAATCAGGTGACTGCACCTACCATGTGCCAGGCCATTTGAAAGATACAGTGGGAGCAAAAACACGGTTGCAGTTGACAGTCAGCCTCAGGGGTTGCAGAAAGTAGTTGAGGGGCACTCAGTCCTATGAGGCTGAGGCCAAGGAGAAAGGAGATTTTAAAATTAAAAAGAGACATCTGGATTTGGCAAAATTTAGGTTAGTGTTTTCATAAACCCCATTTCAGTAGAGTATGGAGAAAAAAACCTGCTTGCTAGAGCCGCAGGGGAGATGGGGCAACTAGGAGCCGAGATTTGGTTTAGAAAACAAAAGATGTGTTGGGAAGGTTACGTCCATATCCTGTGGTGCCCTTTCGTTTCTGTTGCTGATGCGTGCCTGTCCTCAGGAGCCAAGCACGTGTTCAGTGAGCCTGTGCCAGAAGCAGTTCCAGGCCCAGGAGACATAAGTGAAAAACAAGACAGACGAGAACCTGCGCTGAGCTTTCTGTTTGTTTAATCAGCACAGTTTATTGTAGCCTAAGATGGTCAGGCAGCAAGGGATGACTCCATCACTTGATTACAAGTACAACCATTAGGATGTTCTTTTTCTATAATAACTGTATGAAAAGAGTTTCTTACTCTGCCTACACACAGCCTGAGATAAAGGTCTAACTTCTGGAGTTGAGAATCTGACAGAATGGAGAAATTTTAATAAGGAAATAAGCTTTGGTGTGTGTCTATACTACATATACCCACACAATTCGTGTGTACTGTACACACACACCCGTGTATACTGTTCATGTTGGTACAAGCCTATGAAGAACACTTTATAATGTAAAGGTTTAAGGACTTAAGTTATTCCTGATGTTTTAATCTAGACAGGTTTAGGTAATTTTGGTCTTGATATACCTGGACCATTTGTATAATTGTGGTTTTAAAGGCCCAGACTGACTTGTTAAGTGGTCACCTAGTATATATAACACCATAGTAACCAAATGGAAAACAAGGTTGTTATTTTGTATTAAATCAGTGATGGCTATTCCAGAGAACAGACAACTTGGAAAATAAAGACTTCAGAATCTGTTATTCCATGGTAGGAGCATTTTAGTTAATGGTGGTTTCCACATAAACTGAAGGTATTTCTCTGCAAGGGGTTGGTTTATTGAGAAGAGGTGAGGAACGAAATGATACAAGTCTTTTTACCCTTGAAAGGGCTTTCCAAAGCCGGCACACTCAGCAAGGGGTCAGTCCTGGCATGCCCCTCCCAGGAGGACATGAGGTCACTGGCACCTTCAAAGCGTTTGTTCTGTCAGTAGAGGCTTCTAGTCTCATCTGCTGCCCAGCTGGCGCATTTCAGTGGTGTGTGCTTGTGCGTACGTTATGTGTATTGGCGGTGACAGGGAACAAGTAAGCCATCTCGGGTAGTGACTGAGTGCTGGAAAGACAAAGACAAGTGAGTGTGGCAGGGAGTGCAGAGTCCCTCTTCAGAAAGGTCGTTGAGAAGGCTGAGTGAGGCCTTGGCCACTCGGTCAGCTGATTCGCCAAGGTTACAGGTGTGCTCCCTGTCGGGCACGTTCAGGAAGCAATCAGTGAATGCGGAACTAAGATGAACAACAAACCAGTGTTTCTGTCTCCAGCCCTCTCTAAAACCAATGAAAGAAAGGAAGGGAGGGAGGGAAGCTAAATGATAAGGAGCCACTCCTGCAAAAACAAGGACAGTCTTTCAGGCAGACGCTTCTCAGCCTTTTTTGAGTTCTGGGCTGCTTGCAAAATCTAACTTTCGCTGTATTTAACAAACTTTGTAGTACTGTATGCTCAGTAAGAAAAGTGAAGTATTACACTATAGAATTGTTTTTATTTAAGTGTTGGTTTCAGAGAAAGGTTTCACATTAGTATGTAGGGATTATATTTAGATTTTTTTTTCTCAAAACATAGTTTGAATCATAATCTAAAAGAAGCACTGGGCAAAGACTATCAGTAACCTCAGGAACCAAGAATGGAATCTGAAGCAAAAGCTTTCTGGCCGTGGCTGGTGTGGTTCAGTGGATTGAGCTCTGGCTTGTGAACCGAAAGGTCACGGGTTCCTGTGGTTCCTGGTTGGCGCACAGGCCTGGGTTGCCGGCCAGGTCCCCAGGTGTGGGCGAAGCAAACGACCAGTTGATGTACTTGTCACACATTGATGTTTCCCTCTCTGTCTTCTCCCTTTCATTCTCTCTAAAAGGAAATAAAATCTGTTTTTTTTTTTAAGCTTCCTTTAAAAGCTTTCTTTAACAGTATAATAAGGTAGAAAGATGTTTTGTTAGGGAAATCAGATTTCTCATGTATGGAAGTGTTCGTAGAACGGGCATGGTGTGTGGACCGAGATAAAAACCTGACTTTCTCCTGGTGCCCATGTCCTTACTCAGTGGGACTGTGCCGCAGCGCCGCACGGTGCAGACTTGGTCTCACCCATGTAATTTCACATCACTCACACAGTAAATACCCTCCAGTCATGATTAGTTGTGAAAACAGTTTTATTTTAATAAACAAAATGATCCTATGTACGAGTCAAAACTCAAAGTTGGCTTACCTTAACGCTCGTCTCCCAGCTTGGGCCTCCTTTGGGCTGGAAGCCAGCAGTGGAGAGGGGCCTCCATCCCCCTGATCCCAGCTTCCTCCTCGTAGAGCCGCCCTGGGGCCTGTGAGCTGCAAGTCCACTTCTCAGTGGGGCTAATGGGTAGATCGGAGGAGGGTGGGAGGGGTGAGGGGATGGGGTGGTTCTTCCTTGGCTGTGTCCGCTCACAACCTCTGGACCCCGCAGATCGTTAACCTGACATTTTCTCTCTGGAGCACGCCTGTGACCTCTGGAGGTTATTTCTCCTGTAGTTCCATCTCAATTTGAAAGTTTTTTTGATTCCTTCCTGCCCCGGGATCCAACCTCTTCTGAGGTTTTCTCTACCTCTGAGGGTCCTGTTGTGGGGATTGAAAATTATTCCACACACTCTGTCTGAGTGGCCCACAGGGCACTTCCCACCCTGGGCCTGAGCACATTCTTAAATGCAAGGAGGCCTCCTGGCAGTAGCAGAAAACACATTTCAGAGCTCTCTGAGGGGTGCCTTTGAAGTTCCCCTGGCTAGGTTTAGAGCTAGAATGTAGTAACCCCCTTTTCCAAGAAGGTTGGATTGAATATTTAAAACTTTCATTCAAAGAAATTTCTTTACCCATCTCTCCCTTCTCGGACATCTATGTCCTTGATTGGGCTGGGATTCTAAAAGCTGTGACCAGTTTCTTAGATACATCATGCATGTGTGTGTGTGTGTGTGTGTGTGTGTGTGTGTGTGTGTGTAAGCTGCTAGTTCCCTGAGGCAGGAAAAGCCCTATTGTAATAGTGTTAACGATGTAATTCTGCAAATAAATAAATAGCTAATGTAAAAGTATTTGCTTTGCCTTCCAAAATGTCTAAAATGATTTGAGCTCCTGAGTATTAATATGTGGAGAAAATTTAAAAATCCTTTAAGGGAAAGGTCTTTTTATTTTTTTATTTTTATAATTGATTTTAGAGAATGGAAGGGAGGGAGAGAGAAAAAAAAGCATCAGTTTGTTGCATATACTTATGCATCCATTGGTTGATTCTTGTACATGTCCTGGTTGGGGAGTGAACCCACCTTGGTGTACCAGAACAGCCCCCTAACCAACTGGCCTGCCAGGCCAGGGCAGGCCTTTTTTCTTTTCTTTTTTTTAAACTAATAAAACAGGTTATTGGAGACTGTTCTCACTTCCTCACGTTGAGGAGGGTGGTCTTTCTGGTCTCATTTCCCTAGACTATAAAATAAGATTTAAGCTCCCAGCTCTAACGTTCCCCCCATAGTTCCCTGAGCCGAAGACCCCTGTGGGACGGCAGGCCTCCATTCCCTCGACTGACCCCTCCCAGCGACATGAATGTCTAAACAGGTCAGCTTTCCCCTTTGGGGCGCAGAGCTGGTCCAGTCAAGATGACTTTGCTAAAGGTAAAATGCCCTCACAGACAGTTCATTTTTTTTCCTTACTGTTAATTATAGAAAAATATTCAGCCTTACCCCAAGGAAGCCATCCAAATACCCCTGCCCTCTCTGCATTTCAAAGAGCTTTCAGCATCTGCTTTCTAATTTCTTCCGGAACAGTCCCTGCAGCTTGAGGGAAGGTGGTTAAAGGTTAAAGGAGCTCCCTAGCGTTTGCGCTGCGCTGCTGGGTGAAAGTGCTGCCAAGGCGATGGACCGGCCGCCCCTCGGCCCGCCTCAGCCTTCCTTGCAGCGCTGTCAGGGGCAGTTAACCAGACGGGGGTTCGGGGCTCGGGGCACCCAGTTAGGTGACCCCAGGGTCTCCCTTGCAGTTACCATGGACCAGGAAGTCCTGTGACGGCTCTGCCCGCAGCAGAGGAGATAGAGCACTGAGCTCTCCTCTGGGTCGCAGGAATGAAGGGGGCTGCGGGAAGGCCTTTGGGAGCGACCTCCCCCTTCCCCTTTCAGCCCTCAAAGGTGCTAATGAGCTTTGAGGAAGCTCAAATCTGGACATCGTGGGAAGATGGTATGACTTCCAGAGGACCTGGACTGGGACCCGTGGAGGTGGCTGCATCAGTAAGAACTGAGTAACCTACACAATTAAACAGCCTTGTTGGGTCCTTGACCTGCTTTAATGTAGGTATTTCAGGCTGAACACTCCAAAGTACACCTCTAAGTTTCTGAAAACAACACTGACGTCTCTAGCTCTTACTCAGCTGCCTGTTTTGCTGTGTCAAGCAGTTAGTGAAAGCCCCATAGCCCATGGGATTGCCAAAGATTATTCCGTAAATAGTGGGGGCAATGTTTGTCTTTGCCACACTTTTCTCCCCAGCTCCCTCCTCTGATGATTCCGCGGCTCCTCGGTGCACCCCCCCATGCCCACCTCAGTCACTCAGCACACTTCATCCCCACAAGTTAGCCTGAGAATGGAAAGCATGTGGGTGCTTCAAGTAATGGTACTAACGTGCCCTACTCCTAGTATCCGTCAGGCACTTAAAGCCATTATTGCCCCCACCCCCCGCCCCCCGCCAAAAAAAACCCTCTTGCTCTCCAGGCACGGATGGTTAAGCATTTGGGGGTTATCCCTGATTGAGGCTCCTCAGCTAGTTGGTGGGGAATCCGTTGAAAGGCAAAGAGCAGAGAAAGCTTATTCCTGGGATTCCTACCATGTGAGTTCAAGTTCAGTCTCAAGGTCATACTTTCTCCATCAATGCAACCTCTCCAGCACACCATGCATTTTGCCTGCTCCCAGGATTAATGCACTCCCAGATAATTAAGAATTGTTCGCAAACAGGGAAAGTGGTGGTGGGAAAATGTATTTGAACAATTAATAAAAAAAAGAATTGTTTGCAAATAGGCTTGCCAGTTGATCAAAAATGCAATTGTCAAACAGGCAGAATGCTCCTGATGGCCTGCAAACGATCGCTTTAACTCCGAAAGAGCGTTCTTCTTTTTGTATTCCCGAGAAAGCCCCTTTCCATGGCTCACAGAAACTAACCAGAAAGGAAAGTAGGAAATATTTCTTTTTAAACCAGGGGCGAGCTCTAATGCAGTCCTCACTACCACGAATTACGCAGTTAAATTTCCCACATTTAGGGGAATCGTAGGTGTCAGCACATCCAGAGTACAATTAATATGCCTCGCCCTGGCAAAACCACCCCTGGGTTCATGGATCTCCCCTGCCAGGTAAGTATGGGAAATACTTGCTTTAGCAAAGAACTAGTAAGCTAAAAGCACTGTTTCAGACCGGATGCAGTACCTTAGAATGCAGCTAGGCACAGCTTAATTACACTACAAGGCTGATCCAAGTGGGTCTGTATCTGAAACGACCCAATTCCCGAACACCAGCAGGGTGTCCTATAATTCAAAACTCACTTCTTACACTACATACCTGGAGGTACATAGTGTAAGGTTAAGGATTTGGACTATAACGTGCCCTCACCCCAACCCCTCTAACCACTTGCTCTTTAGAGAGCCAGAGCCTTCCCTCCCTCCGTGAGTCTGTACATGCTCGTCCTGTGTGGGTTGCCTCCCCAAAGCCTGCCACCCTTTGCTTTGAGTACGAAGCACCATCTCTTAATGCTCCTCTAAATATATTGAAGTGCAAGCCCTAACGGACTTCCACAGTTAAAGCTTATACCAACTTATCATAATCCCGTGCAGGGGTGGGGGGGTGGGTGTGTGTGTGTGTGTATTGATTTTATTTTTTTTAGAGAGGGGAAGGGAGGGAGAGAGGGAGAGAGATGTCAGTGTGTTTGCCTCTCATGCACCCCCTACTGAGGATCTGGCCCCCAACCCAGGCATGTGCCCTTACTATGAATCGAACCGGCGACCCTTTGGTTAGCAGGCTGGCACTCAATCCACTAGGTCCAAATATATGTGTGTTTTTTTTGTTTTTTGGCTTTTTTTGTGGTATAATTCGCTATCATCAAACATTATTTGAGTCCACCAAGTATACAAAAACTGAGACTACAAAGATGAATAATATACTTAACTGGCTCTACAGAGCACATAATATGCTGGAAACATGGTCCATGAAACCATTACAATACAATTGGTAAATGATACATTTTAACTTTACTAACAGAAACTATAGAAATAGCAAGAAAACCTAACTCAGCTGTCAATTGTGGTTGGAGTTGGGCAGGCAGTGGTGGCTCCACAAAGTGGTGATTTCTGAACTAAGCTTGATGCAGGGGTAGGAGCTGGTGGGTCCGACACAATGCAAGAGAGTGGCTTCCCGTTCAGATGTTTAGTTTGCTTGAAAATCACGAGAGGGCACAACCTGACAAGGCATTGAGGGGTCCTTTAGTAAAATGCCATTCATAATGTTTGAGACTTTCAGAACAAATCTAACCATCACCTCTTCTCCCCAGTTTGCAGGCTTGATTCTGTGGACCATTTCACATCCCATCATGTAGGGCTGTCACTTAAAGTGTGTGAGCGGCATCTGACATACATCTTCAATCCATCATCATCACAGGCTTATGGTCTTACTCACTTGATCTCCCAAACCAAAAACCTTGGGGTTATTCGAAACTCCTTTGCTCCCCTCATTTAGTCAGTCATTCTGTCTTGTGAATCTTCTAAATGTTTCTCAAGTATCAATACACCAATCCTCTAGGATAGTCATTGACAGGAATAGAATGGAAATCTGTTTAGGGACAGACACAAGAGATTAATAGCAAACTTCAAGATAAAACGTCAGAAGCCCTAGTTTCCAGACTTGATTTTCCAACTGTCTTGTTTTGTAAATTTAGGATATAGGTCATAAAATCTTACATAATCCAAGACAATGTTAAAAAGAAATATAAAACCATGCCAAAATTAAGAGAAATCATCTTTTCAAATATCTTCTTTCCAACTTGACTCTACTTCTTCTTTCTAAAGAGTTTAGCAGTTACACATGGCTTAACTGTTTTGTCATTTCCTAACGCTGCTGATGCAATGATGTTTTCTGTAGGACGACAAGCTGGTGAGGTTACATCTGTATGACCTTGTCATTTCTGTACAATCTCTTTAGTCTGCAGATTCCAAATGTAAACCATGTTATCCTCTGATCCAGACACAATCCACTTTCCACCAGTAACCGAAAAGTTGGCTAATATTTAGCATTTCTCATTCTTATGACTGGTTTATGTCTTCAGGCATCTATCGCTACTGTAATCCCATAGTTTGAGTATTGTCCAAAGTTGCAATGAGAATATATTTACCATCGGAGGAAGTTTTACAAAAGAGGAGGGCTGTCATCATTAAGTGTTTTCAAACACTGGCCTGAGGCAGCATCCCAGGTCCCACAGACACTGTCATACCTGCCAGACACCATCATGGGCCCATTACAGTGAAAAGGAGCAGCGGAAACTGGGTCAGAATGAGCAAAGTTTTGAGACACTTTCCCACTTTCACCTCCCATGTTTTCACACTCTCATCAAAAGATCCTGAAATTATGAGGTTGGATGGTGGATTGAAATTACAGCAAAATACGTAATTACTGTGTCCCTTCAGCGTTTTCAAACGCTTTCCACATCTCACATCTCCAACTTTAGAGTTTTATCATCCGAGGCAGAAACAAGACGCCTGGAATCTGATGACCAATCAACATCTGGTATTTCCAGATTGTGACCTAAAGTGTTTTCTCATCTTTTCCATCATACACTCCCCGAATTATAATTACTTTCTCAGCAGAAGAACTTGCTAGCCATTCTCCAACTTAAAAATCTAGTCCACTAGGACTAAACTTAACCGATGATACTGCTTCTGTATGTCCCACGAGAGTACATCTGAGAGCACAGTTCAGTTTTTCAGAGTCCGGTTTGCTGGAAATGGTTGATGAGGTGAGGGTCGACTGCTTTGATGTCTGACTCCTTTGTTGCCATGGCTCTGAAGCTCCAAGCAGTAGTTGGCTAGGCGTCCAGCCTGGAACCAGGCAGCCTGGTATTTTGGCTTTCTGACGGCTGCATCCTGCAGGCGCGAATGAGTGCACCGAGCTCTGGTTTTTTTTTTTCTTTTTGTTTTTGTAGCATCTCCCACATTGCTATGACATGTTGAAGGCAGATATTGTTCCTTTGTTTTTTGAGTCCTAGCAAACTGCCTAATATGTACCTAGGTGTGTGTTTAATAAATACTGAATATAAGTTATAATGTAGCTACAGAATTTTTACCTCTGGTCACCGTATTTAGAGGAAGGCAGTGAGGTGGTGTAATGTCGGGTGTACCAACACTGTGACGTTCTTGAGACGAAAAGGCTAGGAGGACTCCCCTCCCTGAAAGGCTCTCTGAAGGGCCACAGAGGAAGCAGCTGACAAGTAACTGCTGAGCGTCTCCCCCGCAGTTCTGGGTCATCTGGGTATGTCATCGGTGCTGAAATTGTACTAATGAAAGCTGAAGTACTGAAGTCCGAAAACAAGTACTTTTTCCCTCGCTTTAAACTAGAGTGGATTCAAGGCTACTTCTATGATGTCACTCCTGCCCACTTATATTCCAATTTGCTTTGCTTTGTTAGGGGCAGAGTTACAACGGATGGGTCCAGAGACTGGGTGGAAGCCACTGTCCACCTTATCTTTGCATCTGCCCTGGAAGATGTTGAACATGTGAATGTTATCTGTTTGAGGAAGATGGGGGAGAGGACTCAGAGAACTGCCATCCTAGATTAGAAGCTCCTCCAGAGCAGGGAACATGACTTGTCATTTTGTATCTATCCACAGTGTCTGGTGGTTATCAGATGCTGGATGTGAAGGTCTCAGTTATGGATCAATGGGAGAATAAAAGGAAGAGTGGAAGAAAATGTGACAAAAATTTTTAAAAAGGAATGAAGGAAAGAGAAAAAGCAAAGAAATAAAGAAGGCTTATTACTGTTATTATTTACTTTCTTAGAAACATTCAGTTTTTAATGGGACAAGAAAAAACAGCAGTAAAAGCTGCTTGAACAGACTGTCGGAGACTGGATAAGGTGACTTCAAAGTTCCTAGTCAGTTCTTTGATCTATGATTTTAGGTTTCATTTCTCCAACAATGCTTTTGAGTGAATAGTGGTATTTAATAAATACTTATTAAATAGAATTATAATCTAAAATAACCCCAAAGCAGAAGCAAACTGATGTTCCTGATATATATATATATATATATATATATATATATGTAAAAAAAAAAGTTTGTTCTTTCTGAATCATGTCTTCATAGTTTCAGGGAAGACTGGCCATGGATTTGCAAAATTCAGCTTCTGTTTGCTCCCTTGTAAGACGCTCTGGCTTCACTAGAACTATAAGAAGCTGAGGAATCTTGTGATTTTTTTCCTTTTATGTTAAAAGAAAACAGATATAAATTTAAAGTAATTTAATTTATTTCTGGGGGTGGGGGGAAATTAAAGTGTTTTTTTTTTTTTTTTTTTTTTTTTCTTTTAAGAGAATCCAGAGAGCTCCTTCTCCTTGGTAGAGATCCCAAAAGCCTGAGCTGCAGGAACTCACAAGGCAAACCAGTGAAGGTGAAGAAACCAGAAAGCAAAAATTACAGCAGTAGTCATTGCCCCTACTAAATATCTCAGTAATCAAAGGTTTCCTAACTTTTTGGCCCTTCCAAATATAAGCCGTCCCTAAAAAGCAGGAATTGATGCTCTCCCCACGGAGAGCTGTAACTATTCTCTGTTTATTTCATGTGTTCTAAGCTCAAAGGCTTTTGGGTCCTCTGCAGTACCTTGCTTGAAACAAAGCAATAATTAATGCATGTTGCTTTGATTTCATAAATAGAAAGCCTATATGAATCAGGATAGTTTCATAATTTTCCCTGGGAAAAAATAACATTTTCAGTCTTTTTAAAATTTTATTTTCATGAAGAGTCCAACTCTTTGCCTGTTGACACTGGCCCAAGTGCTATGATGCTGCAAAATTAAGATACTAGAAATTGCTTTTTTGGGGGGGGTTGGCACCCCCCAAGAAAGCAGTTTATATGATCTGACTCGTTTCTGCCTACGTCAAGCAATAAACTCACTTAAAAATTCCTTTGTTTACAAAGGAAGTATATTCATTATAAGTAAGTATACTTTCTCTACTTCCCCTGTGATACGGCATGATGCCATTTGTATAGGTAAGAGCCCAGATCTTACTCATTCCAAGCACAGTATTTGCCGGCTCCCCGTGCTCAGCTCCCTGTCCGCAGCCTCTGCCGAGGACAGTCATCACCCCGGCCTGGGTTTCGGCTCAGTAGTTCAGAGGCGCCCAGGCAGATCACAAACTGTGACAAAGAGTGCGAGTGTCTTGTTTGCACAGAGCAGAATCGTCATAAATTTACAAGTCAAGAATTCTAGATACGGTGTTTCAGCCTTCACCTGCAGATCAGGAGAAATACGGTGGCGGGGCACAGCATCCTCATAAACTGCGTATTGTTACCAGAATAAAACGTACCGAAAGACATCCATATTGGGAAAAAGATGTAATAAAGATGCTTGGGTTAGAAAAAGCGTGTTTTCAAGTTCCCAGAAACATCCCTTCAGTGATTGCAAAACCGAAAGTGGTGAAATGCTCGGTAAGAACCCAGCCCCTGCGCTGCCCCGAGGACTCCCAAAGAGGACAAGCCACACGTGCCCCCAGAGCCCTGGGGGGTTAGTGCGCGGCGCCCACGCCCCCTGGACCAGAGAGCAATTAAGTCCCGATGCCAGAGCTATTTTGGATTGAAAAGTGCAAACCATTTTCTTTTAAAGATGGTGAGAAAATGTTCTCATTAAAATATAGTTTAAATGCCGGTCATTTTTATTGACTAAAAAACCCCAACCAACCCCCCCCCCCCAAAAAAAAACAAACTGTTGACTGATGTGGTGGATGCAACTGCAAGCGTTATTTTCAGTTCAGTGAAAGTCTACATTTTAATGGTAGTCTAAAATACTAATTCCCATGCATCAAAATGTGTGGGTAGCACCCCAGTCCCCGAGCACAAATAGATTCACACACATCCCCAACCTAGTCCCTCCAACAGACCTGGCTCTGGGGAGGACATTTCAGGAAAGCGTCCAGGTGGAAGCAAGACCCACAGCGCTGCTTGCGCTGTCAAGGTGCCCAAGGGCGACTTCCTGGCTCAAAGTAAAAAAATAAAATATAAAATTAAATTAAAAAAAAATAGCGGCGAGAGGGGGGTGGGACTCGTCAAAGAAGTAACTGACAACTGCCCGTGGCTGCCGGATTCCACCCGCGCAGGGAAAACGCAGAGGCTGGAGGGCGGCGGCAGGGCGGTGCCCCGACCACGCTCCGGCGCGGGCTGCTCCCGTAGCCAGCCGCGCCGCTGCCCTGCGCCAGCGGGCTGCCGCCGCCCCGGAGCGCTGCCCCGCGGCCGCAGAGATCCCTGGGGCAGACCCCTGCGGGCGGAGGGGACGGAGCCCGGGAGGGGCGGCCGCCCCGCCAGCCCGCCCCGTCCCGCGTGCAGGTGGGCGGGCGCCGCGCGGCTGCGATGCGGGCGAGCGCGGGAGACGGTTCCCGCCCCGCCAGGGGGAGCGTCTGCGCCAGCGGCGGCGGCGGCGGCGGCGGCGGCGGCGGCGGCGGCAGCGGCGGGGCCTCGGCGGGCTGCGCTGGGCGGCGGCTGGCGGCGGGCCCCCCTCCCGAGTCCCCACACCCCCGCCCGCCCCCGGCGCGGCCCTGCCCGCCCCCTCCGCCCCCTCCCGCGGCGCCATGCGCAGGCTCAGTTCCTGGAGGAAGATGGCGACGGCCGAGAAGCAGAAACACGACGGGCGGGTGAAGATCGGCCACTACATCCTGGGGGACACGCTGGGGGTCGGCACCTTCGGCAAAGTGAAGGGTGAGGACCTTCGGGCGGGGCTGGGCCCCAGCCCCCGATCCGGCGACCTCCGCCTCGCGCACCTCTTCATCCCCTGTGTCCCCCGCGTCCCCCGCCCCCCAGTTCGGGAGCCCGGGTCCTGCGTCCGGCGGGAGCGGAGCCCGAGGCCGCGGCCGGCCGGGCCCTCCGCGGCCGGTGGGGGTGGGGTGGGGGCCGGTCGCCATGGCGACGGCGCCGCGGCCGGGGGCTCGCCCGCGCGAGGGGCGGGGACGCGGTGGGGCGAACTTTCCCAGGTGGCAGGGCGGGGGCCGCGCGCGGCCTGGGGGGCTCTGCCCGCGGCCCCGGCTCGCCCGGGCAGTGCTCCCTCGGCTCAGGGCCGGCCCCCTCGCTTCCCTGGCAGTTCTCGGCATTGTCCGTGTTTCCGTCCTCTCCGGGGTGCTGTCGACGTACCTGCAGCGGCCGATTCTCAGTGTGAAGTGTGTTCCCCAAAAAGTCAGGCTGCGTTACGGGTAGCTTACAGAATTGGGGGAAAAAAAAAAAAGAGGCCATCCTGTCGGAAAGGGTGACTAATTATTTTTCGGAGGAGTTAATGCATCAAACGCTGGTCCCGCATTTGCGATGCACGGCTTGTGTTCTGAATGCAGACCCCGTGCCTTCAGGGTTTCTGAATCACCAGTTTGCAGTCTCTGTGCCGAACCTCAGCCTGGCAGTTAGTGCGGATGTTGCCTCCGGATAGCATTTATCAGTCCTTCAATGCAGTTCCTTTCCATTTATTTTCACAGGGTATTTATATTTTGATAAGCAATTTAGTGCACATCATTTGAAGTTTTTTTCTTTTTTTAAAGGAAAAGTGTGTGGACTCTCTTACTCTTGTGTTTCAACACAGTTTCCTGGAAACAGCAAATTGCTCTTCAGTCCACCCAATTCTGGCACAAAAGTGTAACTGAAAACTTTGTGAGGCATGTTTTAAGAAAAAAAATTTGACTTTGTTATGAGGGATGCAGAGGGAAAAAGTATGAAACAGAGAACAATTCAGGCGTTGGCTTTCACAGCCTGTGACTTGCATGTAACTCTTTGACTTGAAAAAAGGAAAAGTTTGTGGAAGTCTGTACAGTGAATCAGCTAACAGCCTTGCTGTACTAGAGCTAAATTAAAAACGTTCTGACTTTATCTAGGGACGGAGGAGGAGAACCCCTCCTTTTGCCCTTTCTGAGTCATGGAACTGGAAAGTCGCTGTGTAGCGCACAGGGAAACAACTGCCTAACCCCTCGTAGGAAAATCAGCGGGGCCAACAATGTGAGAAAGGAAGAAACAAATGGCAAGGTAGGGTAATAACACCCATTAGGGTGGGTGTGTATTAGGTCAGTAAGACGGTGTTGTTCCCCGAAGTTATTTATTTTGGCTGTGCTGTCTCTTCGCTTGTTAGCAATTACAAACTGCTTTTAGTTTAAAGGTATTGGTAAGAAAAGCTCATTAATTCCTACACTGCCCCCCGCCCCCAGCCCCATGGTGACGACAGTATTGATGCCCTCACCCCTTCCCCAGCTCGGCTTGGGTTGGGGTGCTCATCATTCTCCTAATATAGACATACGGACCCGAGCAGGGTCAGGTCTAATTTTTTTTTTTTTTTTTTAATTTGCTAGGTGGCTTTTGGCATGGCAGATAGGAAAGGAAGAGGAAATTTTTTGTGTTCTGGATTTGCTCTGTGATGTGGCTGTGACGTGAGGAACAGTGACTTGCTGTTCCTTAGCCTTCACTCCTCATTGCTTCACTTCCAAGTCAACAACTTCATCAAATGTAGAAGGGCCGGTATTAGTCAAAGGATCACAGGATGCATAGATATGGTTCAATTTGTTCATAAATACGTTAGTTGATGTGGGTCAAAACCCTCAACCAGTGCATTTTTAAGTTGTTAAACAGTTGGGATGCTTTTTGTCCTAATAGAAAATTCAACTCCACCTAGCCAGGAGCATCTCTTCATGTACTTCTTTCGGGCGGGCCTGCTGGTGCACCTCTCGTGAAGCGCATTGGCTCACCCAGTCCCTCTGGCTGGCCAGGGGTGCCGTGCCGACTGGCGGAGGCTGGCGCCCTCAGCGGGCACTAGCCAAGGAAGCGGGATCCCCTTGGAGGGGTATGGCCGCTCTCGGATGTGTGTGGGGTGTGTGTAGCGGGGCAGGGCAGGGGATCTTCTGAAGTACGTGGATAGTGTAGGGGGATGGGGTCGTTACCTAGACAGAAATGGGTATTATTAGGAGGAAGGGGGATATCGGTGCTCAGTGACCAGGCAACAGTAGCTACTCCAGTGGTGATATTGGTAACTTACACCCGCCTTAATTTGACAAGACTTCTTATGAATGGTAGAGTTAGCCATATAGTTTAACGGAGGTAACTTGGAAGTAGAAAGAGCTTTTAAAGTTAGTTAAACCCACTGGTAAAATCAACATAGAAAAGGCATTTATGAAGTAATTGTAAATTTATAATGATTATTTTGTTTCCTATTACAGGCTAAAAGCATCCGTTGGTAACACTTTGAGGGGAAAGTTTAAACAGACCACTAGGGTTAATTTGGAATTAGGCTTGAACTCTCTTTTATTACTTCCAAGCGCCACCCTGCCCCCCCCCCCCCCCCGCATGGTGTTAGTCTCCTCTCCCTTGCTGACCCACCCCTTTCCCTCCAGGCAGAGGTTCTAACAGCCTGAGTGAGCAAAGGCTTGCGTGGCTCTTGCAGTACATTAAACTGGCAGTTTTTGTTAGCTTTCCAAGAGAAAGCTGCCTTTGAGTTGTTCATACATAGAATCTATTAGGTTGGCGAGTATCTCTACATAAAACTTCAATGTCAGTTAAGTAGGTGAGTGTTTCCTTTGTAAATGAGTCACAGTGGAAGTTATTTAAGTAAAAAAAAAATCTATATGCGAACTAGAGCTTATATGTTATCAGTATGCGTGAATCGCAGGTATGTAAGATTAGGTCACTAAAGCAGAAATAGGAGAATATATATACTTGATATTTATGTAAATTTAAAAAGCATGTAAAAACATACATTGCTGGTTGGAATGTAAGTTGGCATCCCCTCTGTAGAGTGTGACAGTATTTATTAAAATTAACCCAATAATTCAGCTTCCAGGAATTCATCCTGTAGATATACTCCTGTTTGTGAAATGATGAGGTATTCATTTCCCTATTTGTAAATACAAAGATTGGAAGTAACTTTCTAGTAGGATTATAGTTAAATTATGGTTTATTCATACAGTGATTTGCCTTGCATACATGAATAAAAAAAAAGAGCAAGAGACTATATAATTTAAGAAACAGTTTCCAAGGTGTATTTTTTTAAGAGGAAGAATAAGGAGGTAATAGAACAACATGTAGAGCATACCTATCATTAGGTATAAGAAGCAGGGCAACTATGTATCTAAGTGTAAATACTTAGGTATAGACTGTTTCTTTCAAGATCCAAATGAAACTGTTACATTAGTTGTTGAGGGGAGGGGAACTAGGTAGCAGGGGGACATTTCACTGCTTACCCTTTTGCACTTTTGAAGTGTGTAGTGAAAGAGTATACAAAATTAAATTTGCAAGCTAAGCATGGGAAAACAATCTCACTATATTGTTTATGGAGTCATACTTGTGGGAAAGACAAACACCACATTCAAGGGAGTGGGCTCTCTGGAGAGAGAGGAAGGAGAAAGATCTGGGAGGAGTCACGCTGGGCTTGAGTTGTCCTATTTATGCTTCAGCCATTGGTGGGTGAGACGTGCTGGGTGGTGTGCCTCATGGGTGCCCGAAATGTTTTGTTAAAAGGTAGCTTCCTCAAGTTTCTACCTATAGCTTTTAAAGCTTACCCCTTTCCAGGACTGTTTTTTTTAGCCAATATTTTTAGAAGTGAGATTTTAATTTTTTTGCATTTTAGACTGGGGATGAAGTTGTTAGGTGATTAGAATATCCTCAATAGATATTTCTGCCTTTGTGGGTGGCATCTGTTTCCTGTTTAAAATCTTCTCTTTCAAAGTATGATCTTGATTCAGTTCAGGATTACATGTCTGGTTAGAAGAGCATTTGTTACAATGTCCTACCATTACACAAAGTTCCCTTTGGAGAGCCAGAGCGGGCTGTTAGCTAATATTTAGTTGACTATTCTGCTGTTCTTGTGAGGGAGACATGAATTATGGTAACTTTTGCTGTGAGTTGTGTGCAGATTTTCCATTTTGTTCAAGAGCAGCATCTTAGCACTACTGTAAAACAGGAGAAGTCTGAAAAGTAAACCTTTGAGCTTTGGGAAAAAGGGGACATCTCAGTAGTGCATATCCTGCCACGGTCCGTTTATGACACGGTCCGTTTAAGCTACGAACTGGAGCTTATATATATCAGCGTGGGCAAATCACAAGTATGTAAGATTAGGTCGCTAAAGCAGAAGTAGAAGAATATATACACTTGATATTTATGTAAATTTAAAAAGCATGCAAAGACATACATTGCTGATTGGAATGATTGATTAGAGAGCAATTAACTGGGCTGCAACTGAGTGTAGTCAGTGGAGAATCTTTGGTCTAGTTTTGAGAAAACTACAGTTATTGCGAGGCTTAAATGTGATCATGTGTATTTCCTAAGCTATCAGACACTATGGTTCCAAAAGTATTATGCTTCTGAAGTCCTAACATTGAAGTATTTTGGTAATTGAGTTCAAGGCAAATATTTCTGTTCCTATTAAGAAACAAAAGCACAGATTATCATATGATGGTCTTAAATTACCCAGATTTGCAGGGAAGAAAGACGGAGGAGGAGTAGTTAGAGGGGATCCTGCCTTCTCTGAAGGAGGGAATATTTTAGTGCCTTTAGTGCTGGGACATTGTTGGAAAACCTCAGAAGGAAAAACCGCTCCAGTCAGGATTGGGGAACACCAGGCTAAACAACTTTCAACAGGTTTCTTTACTGCAGGGCATTTTAGAGCCTTTACTCTGTTAATACGCATAGTGAGCTGCTTTTTTAAAGATTTTATTTATTTATTTTCAGAGACAGGAAGG